GTAATTGCCTTTTTTTGCCTTTTTTAAAAAAAAAAAAAAGGCAGCTTCCAGTCCTTTCCAGTTAATATCTCAGAGGAAACGTAACGGGGAGGAAAACGCAGCTTCTCTTCCAGCCGAAGGCAGCTCATGGTCAAAGTACCGTTTGCAAGTAAGGGCTATAGAAGAGGGCCACATGCTGCCTTCACAGGCCTCCCCGGGGAGTTAAAGGCTCTCTCTAGTGGAAACCCTTACCTAGTAAAACCTTTCCTGTGAAGGTACAGACTAGTAGGTGAGTCATGCGGCTGAAATCTATTTTTTTTGGGAGTCTGCTCAATTCAGGCTGAAGGCGTACTACCTTGTGAACGTGCGCATGTTCTTAGGAGCGTGCCGCTACCCCGTGGGGGTGCGGTGGTGCCTGAGGAAAGCGCCCAGCGGGGGGATCAGGGTGACAGCGAGGGTCCCGCTGCGCGCCCGCCTTTCACGTGCGCTGCCGGCTCTTGGGAGGCGAAGCCCTGCACGGGTTATGGGGCGTCGGTGTTGTAGCTCTGTCCCTGGTCCAGGTGGAGCTCACGAAGAACTGCACGTGGGCTCTTTAGCCATGGCTCCTGTGGCCTTCCCCCCCCCCCCCAGTCCTAAAACAGCTCATTAGGATCATAGTCAACAAGACACAAAGTAAGGCAGTCACGGGGCTGCTGTAAGCTTTCCTGGTCTTAGACTAGAGTAAGGGAAGCATAAAGAGAAAAATGGCAAAGCGCAGCTTTCTGGTTTAAAATATAGCTTCCAGCATTAGACAATGAGCCCCACATTTTAATCCAGTCTCTGTAAGGTGGCTTCAGTATGGTATACCTGTGGCAGTAAAAAATGCCAGTTAGCAGGAAGAAAGTCTAAAATGTGAATGTTCTGTAATGGTGACAGTAGTAATGGTGAAGGATCTAGAGGTGAGAGTAAACAACAAATTTGATGAGTCTGTAAGGTGATATTAGCAGCAGCAAACAGCCAAACAGAATAACTGAGCTGCGTTTCTGAAGACATCATATCACAGAGGAGGGAGATAATTTCCATCATTATAGCACTCTAACATATCTCTCCAGGAATGCTATGTTCTGTTGGGACCCTCAAACTGGATTGCCAGAAAGTTATCAACAAAGCAGAGTTTGGTAAATCAAAGGTGATAGAAAATGTAGTTCCTAAAGAAAGATCAAAGTACAGGACTTAGATGTCTCTTTGTCAAGCTGTCCTAAGAGAAATTCGGGAATATACAATTCTGTACGAACTGAAGGGTATCAGTTAAATGGGTCAAACAACAGGTATGAGGAAGTACAAGTAGGATTAACTGAAGTTAGTCCCAAGCTCAACAGTGAAGGAAAGGAGATGGCGTTGAGCTCTGTTGCCCTGTAGAATGGTCTTGTTGTGGAAGCGATATTAAAATTGTGCTGGGAAAAAATCTTTGCTCTCGGTAGTTATTTTTATATTCAGTCTGACATTGGCAAAGACATGCATTCTGAGCTGAAAGGCTTTTCTCTCTCTAATGGCTCCGATTCAAATTCTTTAGTACTGATTAGCCCTTATATGGTAAATATGTGCTATAGTGTCCCATGGATGGCTATGAAGATCAGTCCCCAAATATAGCTACTGTACCCCTGTTACTCCATGTGGAACACAATTAATACTGAGTTAACCTAAAATTTTGGAAAAATCTAGGACTGCATATACTAGCCATCTGATTCAAAACTTGGATTTGTTTTCTTCGTTTGTGTTTATGTGGGTAGCTTCTTTACACATACTCTGAATGGATCCACCTTGCCTTCCCACTCTTCTGAAAGTGCAAATAATCTCAGTGGGTGCAGTGTTGGAATTCGTGTGATGAAACAGACTTCTTGTTCGAAATCTGAATGCTGCCTTCTTGTACTGCTACTCCTCAGGGAGTAGCAGGGAGGCAGTAGTGAGGGAGACTGAGACGGAGTGCTAGTGTCTTTATCTTTTTTTTTTTTTTTAAGTGGTTTATATCCAGTTTATTGAAGATATTTTTATCAAAAAGAAATAATAGTTTATTCATCTAAAGGACATGTCCTTTATTTGCCTAAAGGCAAAACATAAACATAAAAACATAAAAAGTTATGGAAACCATGACTTTGCAGGGGTGTGCCAAAGACGCACAGTCTATTGCAGATCAGAAGCTAAATAAACTCTCAAGCAATCGACTTCTGAAATGCTTAGTATTACAAGTGATACAGTCTCTGTTACTGCGGTAGCAGTAGTTCAAGGTTCTCCTGGAAGCACATATAGCACTACAGCTAAAATAAAACTGATGAGTAATGTGGTCAGCCTGACAAAGTGGTAGCAACTTGAACAATTGGAATTTCCAGGGCTCGTGTCCTCCATCTTAATTTAGCATTGACTCTCGTGGTTTTTATTTCATTCACTTAATGGCTATACACTCCCAAGCATGCAGTTGTAGCTTTCCTGAAGTTGTTTCACTATAATGCAACAACATGGTCTCCTAGCATTATGTGAATTGTTTCCTCTAGCATAGTGTGTCTGACGTAGTTGTGGAAGCACGGCTTTGTTGTGGCTCCAAGCCGTTCGCTGGAGGTGGCAGCGCTCTCCTCTGCATGTGGAGCCTGCTGGCGCTTGGGGGCCCGTTGTGCCCAGGACCCATCCAGCTTCCTCACAACTGTTCCCATCAGTCAGCCAGGGACAAGTCTGGGGGGACCTTATGAGCTCTGGACAGTCCTTCATTTTGATATCTGAAGAGAAAATGTCACCCTACTCCTGAATTTTTTTTTTTTCTTTAAATGTCACTTCTTACGCCACTGACCTCTTCTGTCTCAGCATGACTTCTTTCCGAAGGGAGGGAATTACAAGCATATCACTGATTTTGAGTAAGTGGAGAATGTAGGGAAGAAGCCTCCCCAAGAGAGAATAAATGCTGTTATTTGAGCAAACAAAAAAAGACTTTTGGAATAGTGTTTCATTATGCTAAGAGGCAGTTATGTAAAGCAACTGAAACCTAATTTAAACCTCGCTAACTTCTGGAAACAAGGGGATTGTATGTAAGCACACAGTTTATTTCATCCTTGGCTTTCCCAGAAAGTTTTGTGGTCTTTGTGCTGGTAGCCATGATGACACTGTACTTGCTGCACCAATCCAGTTCCCTCTGCTTGCTCTGCAGATTTGACATAGACTTCTTAAAGAGCACCTGTGTGTCTCACTGATCTGTACCTTTGAAAACAGGGCACGTTTTCTGCGTGGATCTTGCATCGCCAGCTCTCTGCCCAAGAGGCTGCCTGTTGTAGGAGTCTGCAGAAGACAAGTGGGAGCTGTGCTATGAGTGTCCCCAGCGAATGGAGCTGTGACTGGAGCACGAGCTTCTGTACCATTTAGAGTTCTCCATTATTGGGCACAGCGCTTACTTAGAAAAGGATAGGTGGGAAATGAAACATGACAAGAAAAATGTGAAACAGCGTGAAGGCAAAGGGGAAACAAGCGCAGGAGGGAATGGACTTGAAAGGCCTAGAAAATGAGAATTCTGGTAGTGATAATGTAGGCACATGTACGAGCTGTGGGTGTTAGGTCCTCTTGTGTTGAAGGAGAGCGTTGGCCAGGACAGTGGTATCCCCTGCACTCTTAAAAAAAAGTGTCAAGCTCTGCTGAGCTTTCATATGGGTACAGAAACCAAAGGAGTAGGAATAAGTGAGCCCAGTTTTAACATTTCATATGAATGATAATGCCCTTAATGAGACTGCTGCTGTCCTTTTAGAGCACAGCCTCCAGCCTAAAGGATCTCACAGACCCTTTCAGATCTTCTGAACAGATAAACAAATGCCATGTTACACGTGTGAAAGTAAGACAAAAGCACATAGTCCAATTAAACAGCATCTCTATTTCTTAATGTTAAGCTCTTTTCAGCTTGCTATCTGTGCAGTGGATTTTTTTTTTTTTTAACATAAATGGCTGAATATTTAGGTATAGGAAGGTAACTTACGTGGACGTGGCAGTTCATAAAAATGTAGCTTGTCTTCTGATTCATTTTTTTCTCTGATTCTGTCTTTACTAGTGAATCAATAACTTGCCCTGTTTTTCTTGCTTGTTTTCTTCGTTCTGTGCTCCTGAACCCTTGAAACAGAGCCAAGACAGAGCAATAGAAAACAGCAGTGAATTCCAGGAAAAGAAAAGGAATCATGCAATGGGAATTTACCTTCAATCTTTTGTGTGTGCAGGTGCCCTTTTTAAAAAAAAAAAAAAAAATCCAGTATTAGATTTAGGAAGAGGCTTACTGGATAAACTGGGCAGGCCTCTGAAGGCTCTTCATTTCAAAGTGCAGCACCTCAGTTTTGTTTCTGCTCTAAGTCATCCCCAAGCCTCACCGATAATGTCCTCCTATAGAGACAGTTTACAAATGCTGTTAATTTAAATGCATCATTGAGGTATTTGAGAGACAGCAGTAATCCGTTTTCTTTTCAAGCTCTGTCTTGCTGTTTGCTTTGCTCTGGGTTGGACCGGTTCTACTGTCTGAGTGTAACTTTCATTCAAATCCATGTGAGCTGCTGCAGTTTAATTTGGGCCTGCTCTTAAAAAATACAGTTAGATGATTTAATCTAGTGTCTATGCAGAGCATGATTGTTTTCTTGTATAAATGGCTCTTCTGCTGCCCTAAGTACTGAACAAAAGCTTTTATTGCCTCGTGGTTTGAAAAACTATTGACTCTCACCTTAGGTAAAGACTGGGACCCTGTCAGTGTTTGTTTTCTGTGGTTTCGCCATCAGTTGTTCCATGACATTTAAGGTGTGTGGGCAGACAGATTTCATGTCCGCGTTCAGACTGAGCCACTGGACTCCAGTGCGCCTGAGGTGGTTTTGACCGTCTTTTTGCTAATTAGAGGGGAGTCTGTGCCCCCCCCACCCCCCGCCCCATACTCCATTTTCGTTATTCCCAATTTAAGGCAGAACTGCTATTCAGCATTACCAAACTCGGGCTGTGAAGTCTTATGGAACACCTAATACAAGTGGAATACAAACTATCAAGTATCTCAGGAATAAATTAGGGAAACAATTAGCTAGCTATTTGTCATCATAGCCTTCTGCTTAACTGTTGTGCGTTTAAGAGACTTGTATCGAAATAGTATCTGACAGATATGTGATGTAACTAAGCTTTTGCTACAGAAATCAAATGCTACTTAGAAATAACTCTTAATTACCTCTAGCTGCATTCCGAGAGAATAAATTTTAATTTTCCCTTGAGAAAGTGAGGGTATGGAATAAAGAGCCAGAAGCGTGTGAAGCTTTTTGTGATGGTAAATCCATGTAGTGCAGTTTTTTTGCTTTAGCAGACCAATGCAAAGCAAACGAAACACTTTTTTTTTTTTTTTATGCCTCTCCTATAATGTATGGAAAGATCTATTTAGAAAGAACTTATTTGTAGTACGTTATGTATCACTCTGTGATAAATATATGTTCTGAAGCATAAGTTACAAATGGCTTTGTAGTTGTTAACAGGTTAGTAATAAGATTTGAATATTTGGGATTTTAACATGGGATTTTGATTGGTTGGTTTGTTTGTTTTTTCCAAAATATATTTTGCCCATAAAGTAAACGAGCATGAAGAGAGGGGCTTGGGAAGCCTAGAAAGATCTATCCCCCACCCTGGGGGCTATATTAGACCTCTGAGTCATGAAGTCTTTGCATAGTAGGTGTCTGGTTACAAACCTTTTATGGGCCCTACTCAGCTGGGATATCAGCATCTGCATTATAGCTCCCATCTATTCTTAGGTGGTATTCCAGCACGACTGAACAGGCAAGGCAGGAAGAGAATTGCTTTCCTTGTAGGAAGCTCTTCCCTCTTCTCATTCTGTTCCCCCCCCCCACACACACTTTCTCTGTCTACCCCATCTTTCTATTCTGCAGTGCCTTGTCAGCTGGTGAAAGAGGTACAAAATGGCTTACAGCGTGACTCTGAATGGACCTGGACCATGGGGTTTCCGACTGCAAGGCGGCAAGGACTTCAACATGCCCTTGACCATCTCCAGAGTAAGTGAACAGAAAGCTTCGTTGAGGTTTTTATAGGTTGGAAAACAGCAGTAGAGTAAATGTATGTACGCTCTGATCTGGCCAAGCAAAATGGAAGATTTTTGCAGCTAGGTCTGAATAAAAAGAATATAATGTAGACTTTAAAAATACCATTTCAAGGCACAGCCTGTCATTGATGATGCACAGGAAAACATTTTTGGTTGAATTGTGTGTTCTTAAGAACGATAATGCTGTCTCTCTTAAATGAGCTTCCAGTTCTGTTTTATATAGTGCTGTACCTTTTCTGCTGCCAAGGGCCTCTCTGGTACTGTCTATACAGACCTTTAGGGGGTGGGAATAGAAGAACTATGAATGACAACATAAAATTATATTTCCAGAAAATAAGTATGTAATTGCTTCTAAACGTATGGCATCTGGGTGTTCATACAGGACAAAGACAGGGATATATTTCCTTCTCTTCTGGGTCAAGGGAGTGTGATAATTAGATGAAAATTAGATGTGTCAAGCAGAAGACTCAATAGTGCCGAAAATATCGTCTTAAATTATGCAGAAGGTTCCATTTGTAGCTGATGAACAGTGTTTGATTTAATAATTAATTACCCAGTGCATCTGTTGGTTATAATTCATTTTCCTCACAGCCATCTTTTTTTTTCCCTCTATAAAAGCAATGTGTTAAGGCATTTCAGTGTAGGGCTGTTATTACCCGAATTATTTTGTTCGTTAAGAGCTTTTAACGCTCAATGGTCCTCAAATGCAAAGCGGTTTCCCATCCCTGCCCTGCTCTTAAAAAACTAGATAGCTCTGTGTAACTTGCGATTTGAGAACTCTTCTTTCCAGCACCTCCTACCTGCTTTTTTGGCAGTCTCAGCTTTATTTCAGAATGTTCAGATCTTTTAGAGATACCCTGATTGCACCACAAATCTCCTGCCTAAGGCTTATCAGTTTGCAGAGCAGTGACGAGAGAGGTTACTTATATAACAGTCTTTTCAAGGAATACTAGAATCATTTAGATAACCAGAATGATGAATCAGATAAACAAATAGATTGCAAACAGAAAGTCCACTGCACTGCAAAAAAACATCGCTACTACTTTGAAAACGTTTTCTTAATGAAAAAACACAATTGGTTAAATTATGGATACCCAATTGGTATCCCTGCAACAATCATGAATCAAAGACATCAGCAGTCTTCTGAAATCTTAACTGTCCTATTTCATATTCAAACTGTAAAGCTCTGCCTTATTTGCTCTTCCTTATCCTTATGTACAATATGCCTTTCTGCCTAGAGAGCTGTATTTGTGTTAAGATCCTATGATGATGAGCGGATCTTTTCATAATCCCTTTTGCAGAAGAGGTCTTTGTGCCCTAGGAATGGCAAAGAAGGATGTTCTGTCAGTGTTACAAAAAATGACTACTCATAAAAATAAAATCACATTCATAAGCTTATACTAAATTCAGCATGGTAAATAGTTCTGGTATTTTGTTCCTTATCTCACCGAAGGTAAAGATGGAGAGGTGCCAAAGTGTTTCTGTAGGTATACTCGTGACATTTTAGCGCTCTGTTTTGTGAAGTGTTGGGGTTTTTGTGAGTAATTCAGTCATGGCTAGAAGCAACCTGTTAAGGACTGTGACACTTGCACTGTATATGACACAATCAAAGTGAAAAGCCAGTTGTTTCTCAGAGAACCCATAGTCTTAGGTCGTGATCTCATAAGGGAGACTCACTGTGCTCAAAGGTTGTGTGATTCTTATGGGGCTGCGGAGGGCATGTGATGAGCTGGAGTAAATCTCTGTGGTGGCTGGATTCCCAGAGGCATAGAGGAATTACCCTTTTGCACAGCTGGCTGCATTCCTGGCGGTAGAAGTGTCAGAAAGTACTGGGAAATGCTTTGAAATCTTCTGCGATGATGCCCCATTTTTAGCTGTGAACATTGCTTTAGGGGTGGGATTCGGTTTTGAAGCCTGCTTTAGGGGTGGGATTGGGTTTTGAAGCCTGCTTTAGGGGAAAAAGCAGAAATGCAGAAATGAACATACTGTTTTTCAGGGAGAGGGGAAGGGAGAGCTGAAATAGGAATGCTTGCTGTTTGTGATGTTTTTAATTGTAAGAGAGTTCAATGCATGGCTTTTGGTGATAGTGTCCTCATAAAAGTCTATTTTTTCTCTTTAACATCTTTCACATAAATATCTCCCGAAACCTATCACAGATTCCCATTATCAGCAGTTTGCAGACATAAGTGAGGTGAGCTGTGAACTCGGCCATAATTGCAATCTTACCATAGGGAGAAGAGAAACTGTACTTAGGTGCTTTTTGCTCAAGAACGTCTTGAGAATATAAAATGACTCTGAGGAAAATCCCTTTCTTGGGAAGGGCATACGGCTCTGAACGTTGCCAGCAGGTGTCATGCACATATCTGTGGACTGGTTTTGGCTGCACTGCGATGGGAGCAGACTTCCAACGTGCAAGACAGTGGTGCCTAAAATGCAGTCATTTCAACTGAACGGGCCACGTAGTTGCTTTTAATACCAGATATGCAATGATCTTTTTGCCTCCTCATACCTAGTTTCCCTCTACGCAGGCAGACAGGGTTTACCTGCAGGCATGCACATTATACTCTGGCAGCTCCCAGGCAGTTATCTGTGGGGTGCCACTGAGAACAGAATGATTCACCCTCCTTTATGGAGGCTCTGTGCTCTTCTGTCTTGCTGCAAGTTATACAGTGACAGAATTGCCTCTGGGCTCCTGGGAGAGTTGACAGTTTCTGCCACACCAGGATTGTTCGTCCCATCTGTAGTGTTACCTCTGCATGTCTTCAAGGGCCTTTCTGAAAGGGGAAGCTAGTGTTGGTACTAGTATTAAGCTAGTCCATAGCTAGGCAGAAAGTGGGCACCCTGGACTTAGGGAATAGAGCTGTGGCCTGGAGCTCTGGGGATCCACGCTCAGCATGGATCAGCCAGCCCGTGATGATTCCAGTGCTGCCCCTGCTTCTCCACCTGAGAAGCAGGTAGAAAACCTGAAGGTCTCTGAGGCCCACTTAACAAAAGCACAATGTAAGATCGAGGCTTTGCTGATGCTTCTATTCAAGAAAATGCTCCTCTTAAAACAGTGAGCAAGGAAGGGAGTTACTCTTTCTCAGAGCTGTGTTTTACAACAATTCAGATTTAAAGGACTTTTTAAAATGCTTTCTGAGATGCTGTCTTTTCTTCCCTTCTGGAAGGTCCAGGTGTTCATATCACTGCTGAATCATCAACAGCAAAAGGCCCAGGGATACCAGTCAGTCAGCTGGGTGACAGGTGAGGACATAGCTTTGTGTCCCCCTGAAATGGAGCATTGTGCTTAATGCTCTATTCTGTATCTAAAAATAAGTGCCTATTTGGTGTCAGTAGTGGGAAGGGAAGAGAAGAGAGAGAGAAACAAGTACGTAAGAGCTAATGTCACCCTGCAGCTTCATACTCTTTAGTAATGGAACAAGTTCTTTAGAAAATAATCTGGGAAGACTTAGTATTTTAAAAACAGCTTTCTACTCCCCACCGTACAGACCTTCCCACCCTCTAGGATTAATTCATCATACGATATCATGGGCAGGTACCAGAGGTAGGAGAACAGCAGTGACTGACTCTCAGTGAAGCTGAGCATCTGTTGCTCCTACTGAAATGACTGAGAGTTGCAGTTGGCACTGCTAAGAGCAGTCACCAGTGGCCTGATTGTATGCGTAAATCTCATCTTTCCAAATCGATGTAGGCAGCAAAGCAGTTTATTTTCTCCTGCTGCCTGTGTGGACTGTCTGAAAGCAAACAGAATTAATTAATTTGATAGACCTAATCCTGTCTAAGAAGGATATTAGGCGTGGTTAATTATGTAAGTGCTATATTGCCATGTTACCTAAGATGGTGTAATTGTATGTGGATGGATGCAATGACAGAGTCTCCTCATATATTTGTGAATGATGGTTGTTGAACAGCGAACTCTTCCAGCGAGGCTGACTGGCTTGCAAGTGATGCAATGAGCCGAAAGGTATGCAAGAATTATTATCTGAGATAGCTAAAATATTGTCCAAAACAGCGCAGTCCCTGGTGACTGGTGTATTCACTTCGATTATCCGCTCAGGTCTGTGTTTCCTAATAGAGAGGATTCTTTTTTAATGTTGCCTGGGTGCCAAATCAAAAGCCAGAACCTGAAGCTAAAGGAGATGCTGTTTAAACAAACAAAACAACAACAAGAGGATATTGTAGAACTACTTTGGCTTTACTTTAGTAAGTGAATAAGAAGTTGAAATCTGACCATGATGGCAGTGCAGCGAGGGGAAATCCTGAGCACTAATAGGAGGGGAAAAAAAAAAAAAAAAAAAGACGACATTTTTAGCTCATCTATATCACTTGCATCACTTGCTCTGATGCAAGCAGCCTGAAACAGTTCTTCTGAAAGAGCTATTCTAGCATTGGTAATCCATGTCGCTGGAGGAGCCGGAAAGCTTTTGTTGCATTCGCTGGGCTCTCTCCTTTTATTAGCATGTTTTTTTAATTACTTCCTGTCCCTCCTCCACTCCCAAACATGCAGGTGTCAGCCTCTCTCCGTGACTGTGTTCCCCTCAGAGGATCTATGTGAGAATATTCATCCTGTACTCCTGTTTGCTTTATTGCATGTGGGCTGTCAGTGCCTCACAATAGGTGAATGATGGTTGAAAGGGCAGTCCCTCTTGGCTTTTTTTCTTTTATTCTTAAATGCAGGGAACAGATGATCTGAGGCAAGCCCCATGCACCCTGCCACTGTCACTTGAACAGCTGTCTAGTGCTGCACATAAATTGTCATCAGAAGAAGGAAGTATACATGTGTTGACTGAACTGAAGACATTTAACAAGTTCTTTTGAAACTGATTGCACATCACCCGTTCAGCATCCATTTCGGATGCTTCTAACTGCTGAGTAGCTGTTGTGATACAACTCCAACTTTGAGAGAAAAGGTTTTGTTTCATTTCTAAATGTGAAGTCCTTCACAATCCTGAA